TCACTAACTAAGGAGGAAATAAATGACAAATTTTCAGATTTAAAAAACCAGCAAGATTATAAAAATCTGAGCGAAGAAGAGAAAGAAAAGATTGCTAAACACAAAGATTTTCTATTAGTCCGAGTCGAAATAGAAAATAATGAGGAATGAAATAAGGAACAAAAACAATTATCCCGAAGGGTTTTTGGGGAAATTCACGAAAATAATAACGATAAAAAGGATTTAGAAAAACTCATTAATGGAATTGAAAAGTATAAGTGTTCTGACAGTGAAGAAGAGAAAAAATTTTATGCTACTTATCAACCATACTGGGACGAAAAACTAACTGAAATAAAATCCTGCTGCAAGAACTTAGACAAAAAGGAACGAGATTCTGAGTTGGACAAAAACAAGGGACAACAAAGTCCCAAAGCCAATCAAAAAGATGACAAAACCCCAACTTGGGGTATAATTATCATTACGGGAGGAATAATAACAGCAATTTTGGCGGTTGTTATTCGTCACTTAATCAAAAAGAAAACCCTAAAAAATAGATAAAAAGTTAATAGTGTTGAGAAGGAATGAATTTTTTTTGGAGGAACCGGTCGGATTCGAACCGACGAATAGCAGTTTTGCAGACTGCGGCCTTAAACCACTTGGCCACGGTTCCATTTTTTTTATTCTCTTTCACTTCTCCAAAAAATATACATATAAAAATTTTATTAATCAAACTCAAAATTATAAGTTAAAGTTCTAAAAATAATTATAAGAGTAAATTAATAAATAATAAGTCAACAATGAGCAAACCAGTTAACCAACAACAATTAATTAAAAAATATTTTAACTTATTAGTTAAGGAGTTCATTACTGACCCGCGGCACAATAAAGATATCAGCATAGTTTTTACGGACTATTTAGAGAGTTCGAAAGAGAATTCAACAACTTTGGGTCATACTGAACGAAGCGGGGGGGGGAGTTATACAACTTGACAAAAATGAACAAATGGAGTAAAAGTTCCTGGTTCTGAAAGAACTACTTATTTTCCCTATAAATATGTGATTACCTTTTTAAATAATTACGAAAGCGAGAATGATTTACGGGGAACAGTAGTTCATGAATTCACCCACCTTTATTTATATGCTACTGTTGACGAGAAGCATGAACATGATGACCGCTTTTACTCGGCCATGGAACGCTTTGAAAATTGGCTAAATCAAAATCAAGGATTAAGCCCACGAACGGATAAAAGTCATGACCGCGATCAGCATGTAGACAGTGGCAGTATCGATACTAGCGATAAAGAAAATGTTTGCCCCGAATGCTCTCATTCTAGTCCCCAACATTCTCCGCAATGTTCTCATAATCAAAGCAACCCTCATCCTACTAGACAACCTAAACCTGGACAAAAATCAGACATTACTAATGACCCCAAAAAAACGGCCGAACTTAATCGTCTGAAAAAACTAATACAAACTAGTCGCGATTTATCAACTCTAGAAACCACCTATCAAAATATAAAAGTTAATCCTCTCTACCAAGGAAAAAATCGCGACGATAACAAAAAAGAACTTGATGATTTATATCAACTACAAAAAGAACTTTTGCGGTCTCAACAAAACTTAACTAATGATCCTAACTCTTTAAATAAAGGTAAGTGGGGAAGCGGAGAATACTTGCTGATTATTTTACTAGTAACAGGGGGAATTATCCTTCTGATAATAGTTGGTTATCTGGTGTTATCCAGCGAGAAAAAACAAACTGCGGCCAAAAAAAGTTAATTCATTTGCGGAATGGTGAATGCTAAATTATAAGAAGGTCGTTAAAGTACCCTTCATGTTTGCGAACAAAAAAAATAATTGATAAGGTGGGAAGTGTTATTCTCCTTCCTAACAAGATTAAATGGAACAAAAAGTAAGGCATTAGTTAACTTGTTATATTCTAACTCTACTTCTAATCAAAATTTTTATATAAATATAATTAAGGAGACAGAGAGTGATGGTGAAAGAGATTTAAGTTGTCTCTCTCTCTCTCTCTCTCTCTGACAATATATTAAGATAAATATAACATTATAATATTAAAAATATGGTAGACATACAAGAATATAAAAATAAAAGAATAGAATGAATAGAAAAATTAATAGCAACCGCCGGTTTAGAATCTTTTGAAATTAGCGATGCGGTTAGGGAAATGGCTAAAGCACACCCCGACTTAAAGGATTGGGCTGAAAAAATGTCCACTTGACGAGATTCTATTCTAGACACAAACAGTTTGGATGCGGTGGATGTGTATTACGATGGATATGTCAAGTTAATCGAAAGCCTCATGAAAAAAAAGCATGACAAGCAGAAACAAGAATGGCAAGATGATGCCCAAAAAAATAAAGAATGATGGGAAGATTATTATAAAAAAGAACAAACAAACAAAGAATGGTTAAGAAAATACTTGGCAGGAGAACTTGATTGGCAAAAAGACCAAAAGAAAAGGGATGAAGAAAATAAAAAGAAACTTGACGAACATAAAGAAAATTTAAAAAAAGATGATAAAGAATTTGATGAGAAAAATAAGAAAAAATATATTGCTGATATTGAAATGGACCTCATAAAGAAAAATGTCTCGGGAGAACAGTTAAGTCAAAAATTAGGGGTTAGTGATTGAAGAGAAAAAATTAATGGAGCCTCTGATACATGGGAAGCCCTTTCCCGTCGTTCGGACTTGTGAGATATAATTAGAGATTTAAAATATGACAATCCTACTAATAATAATAAATTTACTTGTGCCGGTTGTGGAGAGAAAAAAACAGAGTATTACAATTACCCTTTGGAAGGAGGCAAAAAATACTGTTCTGCCGAATGCTGAAATAAAGGTGAGAAAAAGGGAAATAATGATAAAAAATTCAATGATTTCAGTCTCAGTGAGTTTTTTTCTTTAATGGAAAAATTAAAGGTGAAACAAATTTGATTTGATTTTGAAAATAATCGGGTAATGCTTGAATTTAATAGCGGTGGAAAAAAAGAGTTAAGTGCCATTAATAGCGGTCTGTCTTCGGAACAGCAGCAAAGATTAGAAAGTCAATTAAAGTCCCAAAAAGAACCAGTTACTTTCAGTCAGGTTAGTGGCGAATTTGATAAAGGAAAAAATGGTAACGGAGGAATAATTGCGGCTATTGTAATAGTTGGAGTAGTCTTAGCAGTTATTATTGGTGTAGTTATTCATAATAATAAGAAAAGAGATTACTAGGACAAGATTTTTATCTATAATTAAGTTGGGAGTGGGAAATAAAGTAGTTGATTAGAAATGGCTTGACCGAATAACAGAAGCATTCCAGGCGGGGGATATGGAAGGTGACCACGAAGAGGAGGTGGAGGCCCCCCTCCCGTTCCCTCTCCCTGATGACAAAAACTAATTTTAGTAATAATTTTATTAGTCTTTGTTCTCATAATTTGACTGCTAGTAGAAGGAAGAAAAAAAAGAAAAAGGAAGGTTAAGAAGAAAAGAAAGCAAAAAAAATAGAGAGGATGTTGTACTCTCTCTAATATCTATTTTAAAAAATTAACAAGAAATTATTTTGTGATTAGATATTAGGAAATTAATTAAAAAGTGATAAATTAACTATGCCTTTAGACAATAAAATCCACCTCTGCTATATTAATATAAAAGATTTACGGCAATGAATAAAAGAAAATCAACTCCTCAAACAAGACTTTACTCATGAAAGAGAAAAATGAACCAAAGAAATTAACCAACAACCCAATTTTTTTTCCGATACTGAATTATTGTTAATGGACCAAAATTTCCTTCTTTTAAAAGTCCTTACAGAAAGCCAAGCAACTTTTTTAGCCAAAACCTACCAACTAGAATATCAGAAGATTTGTCAAAAACTTTTTCGAGCCAAGAAAAATATCATACTGGTTAGTGG